AAATTATACATAGAAAATGTAGAGAAAATAATTACGGTTTTTTTTGAGCTATAGAACTCCTAGAAATGTCAAAAACTGAAAGAGGAGATAGATTTTTTCTGTAAAAAACTTTCAAAATGACCATTTTTGACATTTTTTTCTTCCGGAAAACGACCATACATGAATCTATAACCACTAATTAATTTTTTAAGAATCATTTGAATTATCTTGGAACTCCACAGAATCAGATAAAAAATTCTGAAATTATGGTTTTAGACCTGCAATTGTGATCGCGCCAAACTTTTTTACTGTAGATCAAAAATCAATTTGCAGTTCGGAATTGTTCTGTGGGAGAGCGTGAGGTGTCACTTTTTTTAATTCGACAATAGATTGGTTCATTCTCCGCGGTTTCGCGGAATTTTCTCCATTTCTCCGAATTTTTCTACATGTTGGTGAATAACCCCATTAATACGCGACTTTAAAGTATTACTGTAGCATATCGTCAAATAGAAAAAAAATTAGAAAAAAAAATTGTTGACAGCGCTTCTTTTACCGGGTTCATATATGTAAAACAAAAACAAAAAACTAATTGTAAGGATATTCGGGATAAATTTTATTCAAAAGCCGATCGGATCAGAGTTGAAGAAATCGAGATCAAATGGTAGAAGTTTCATATATTCTTGTTTCTGTTCTCCGGCTTTTGGATCGGACGAACTCGACTTCTCAGCAGATTGATGATTTGTTTTCTCTCTACTAGTCTTCACTTTATTGTCGTTAGTGGTCTCATCACTCATCTTCCGTGCAGTTTTTACATCTTCTTTACTTAACTTCTCTCTTGATTTTCTTTCGCGGCTTCCGACTTTCTGAGTTGGTGATCTGGGTACGGATTTCGGAGTATCCGATGGTCTGAAAATGATAACTGGAACGGAATTTCAAGGTATTCATTCTACAAAAGTTCCCAGTCGTATGTGTCATTTCAAATGAAGTATCCTTTCTGCGTCACGGTGAGTAACAGCATGAAAATCTTATGGTAGTCTGGTCGATGAAAATATGTCAGGCTTCTGGAAAATATCAATTTTCAATTATTAAAACAACTGATGTTTACCTCAGATGCTTTGCTATGTCAAGAAACTCCATTGGACAGTTTTGGAGAACGTCTTCGTCTGTATGAAGTCTTTTCAATTCACCGACAATCTGGGTACGGATTTCGGAGTTGTTTTAATAATTGAAAATTGATCTGGGTACGGATTTCGGAGTATCCGATGGTCTGAAAATGATAACTGGAACGGAATTTCAAGGTATTCATCCTACAAAAGTTCCCAGTCGTATGTGTCATTTCAAATGAAGTATCCTTTCTGCGTCACGGTGAGTAACAGCATGAAAATCTTATGGTAGTCTGGTCGATGAAAATATGTCAGGCTTCTGGAAAATATCAATTTTCAATTATTAAAACAACTGATGTTTACCTCAGATGCTTTGCTATCTCAAGAAACTCCATTGGACAGTTTTGGAGAACGTCTTCGTCTGTATGAAGTCTTTTCAATTCACCGACAATCTGGGTACGGATTTCGGAGTTGTTTTAATAATTGAAAATTGATCTGGGTACGGATTTCGGAGTATCCGATGGTCTGAAAATGATAACTGGAACGGAATTTCAAGGTATTCATCCTACAAAAGTTCCCAGTCGTATGTGTCATTTCAAATGAAGTATCCTTTCTGCATCACGGTGAGTAACAGCATGAAAATCTTATGGTAGTCTGGTCGATGAAAATATGTCAGGCTTCTGGAAAATATCAATTTTCAATTATTAAAACAACTGATGTTTACCTCAGATGCTTTGCTATCTCAAGAAACTCCATTGGACAGTTTTGGAGAACGTCTTCGTCTGTATGAAGTCTTTTCAATTCACCGACAATTCTCTTATCACTAAAACAACTTTATAAAAAAATCAACAAGAGAAGCGTTTACTTTTGAGATGACCACGGCAAAGGTCCCCTCAGTTCCGCGAGCAAGTACAACATGCTCCACAGATCATCGACTCTGCCTTGTTCAGCCCGATCATGCATTCTGATTGAACAGTATCTGGTTGTTCCTCTGAAAACGAAAAAGGAATCCAATAGTCTTCATTATTATTACCTGAAAAGAGATCTTTCCCGAGGTTTTCTCATCATAAATTTGCTTGGTTGATCGGAATGAGGTACCAAGTACTGGCGAGAAAGTCCGAAATCTAGAACATGGAAAAACCGGCATTCTTCCGAGTTTGTTTTGTATCCCAGTGCCATATTAGCTGGTTTTAAGTCTCGATGGATAAATCCGATCTGAAAGTTTAAACCATATTGATTCTAAGAATTCTCTCCAATTCGTAAATACATCATGAATTTGTTTCAGACAGAAAAGAATATTTGCTGCGATACGGACTTGAGCAGAAACTGTTAGTTGTCGTCCAACTCTTCTGAAAACTCAAAGTATTCTAAAACTTCTGGATCAGTTCCCCTCCTTACTTGACTATTTTATTTAAGCTCTTTCCGAGTAGAGTCATGATAACATAAGTGAAATCCGTAAGTCTAGCAGCTGAGATGAATTTACACACATGTGGTTTTCCTGTTAATTTTTTGAGAATTGCAACTTCTAATTTAAGAACACATCCTCCATTTGCATTATTTGATTCTGCTTTCATTGCTGCTTCCGTGTCATCTTCTAAATTTCTGACAAGGTACACACTTCCACATCCTCCTTCTCCAAGTTTTCGAACAACTTGCCATGTGTAACCCACTATTTTTCCTTTTGGAAGTTCTATTGTACCATTATCTGCATGTATTGTTGAATATTTTTGATTCAGAAATTATACCAGGAACCTTCTGCCATCAAGAACTTCTATTATAATTTGGGAGAATGGAAATTGAATTTTATTGGACGGAATGTTGTGAAAATCTTCTCTAATCAGATGAAAATGAACTAAAAACTACCATCACAAGGAGAAGCATGTAACGGCGCTGCAAACATCTGCTATTTTTGAAATAGTTGTCTTCTGGTTTTTCAGGACTTATGTGTCTTCTGGCTAACACTCCACGTTGCAGGACAGTTAAACCAGTTCTCTGTGTTCTTTGGAATTACAAAAAGTTTAGATTGGTTGGTATTAGATCAGGAAACCAACGTTTTTGAATGAATTTTGAAAACTGGTTGTTTTCCCGACAAAAAAGAAATTTCCATGAATAGAAGCATCGCATGGAAAAGAAATCTTTAAAATTGGTCTTGATACCTCATATCAGGCCTGTGCGGCAACAAATTGCCGATTGCCGAAATTGCCGAATTTTTGTTGCTGATTTGCCGTTGCCAAAATCGGCAACGAAGAAAAAGTTGCCGAATTGCCGTTGCCGATTTCGGCAAAAAAATTTCGGCAATTTCGGCAACTGAAATTTTTTTGGAATTTAGAGATTTTCACAATTTTTTTAGTCAAAAAAATTATTTCGAAGTTCGAAAAATCAAATTTTGAACACCATCATCCCTCAGGGTGAATTTTAGAGGAAATCTGTCCCAATAATCATCAAAAATACTTGCATCGGATCTAAAAATGAGCTTCAAACTTGTGAGCATAGGAGAAAAATAGATACTTATCATGAGACTCAACTCATCAAAAAAATTATCCAATCTGTCTCAAATCTCTAGGGAACGTGTGTCGTGAGTTGCCTAACAAGTTGAGCGCACTATTTTCAAAACTCACAATCGGAACAAATATTTTCAACCATTGGAATACCCTCTATTGCTAAAGAGAAATAGTTTGCATAAAAAATGTGGTCTTGAGTTGCCAATTTTTGTAATTACTTTTTTAAGGAACTTATGAAACACATTTTCTGTAGTTCTGAGCCTGATAGAAGCATTTTCAGGTGAGTTACGTATCGATTTTACTAAAAAAAGACGCAAAACTTTTGTTGCCGAAAATTGCCGAAAAAATTTTGTTGCCGCACAGGCCTGCCTCATATGTATCCTCTAATCTTGATTTCCTTTAATAGAAGCCTACCCAAACTAACAACTTTGATCTCAATTATCTCGATTCCTGTGAAAGATATAAAAATGTGTCAACTGATAAAATATTGGTGATATTTATTATGATAAAAATTTGTACGTTGAACATTTTTTGATATCTTTTTCATGAATCGAAATAAATGAACTTAAAATTGAAGGATTCGGTGAGCTCCAATTAGAGCAAATACGGTAACTATCATCCCCATATTAACAAGTTGACCCAATTTCCACTAACTCCTACAATAAAGAATGTCAAAAATCGATAAACTGGTCAGACGTTACTGATAACATTGCAAACATTTTATTAGTTTTTAGTTTTTTGATAACCTTATCTAAAACTGAGTTATAACTTGCTTTATAACTCATGAGTTACCGTAAAACCTGTTATAGAAGGGCCCTCACATTGTTGCGGGTGTCACACTTACTCCCTCCTCCTCCGTCCGGGCTTGGGACTCATTACTGATTCCTCTCTCAAATTCTCTGCTCACATCAACAAAATCACATCTCTAGCTCTTCTCCGTTCCAAACAACTCTTAAAGTCATTTAGATCTAAGTCTCCAGAATTCTACATTCATCTTTTCAAATGTTATGTTCTCCCGATTCTTGAATATTGTTCTGTAGTTTATTCCCCTCCGCCTTCTTCTCGCCTTGCTCTAAAACTAGAATCTCCCTTAAGATTTTTCTCTAAGTGTATTTTCCAGCGTTGTAATATCCAGTACAGTTCCTATTCTGATCGTCTCTCTATCCTCAATATGTTCTCCATTCGACATCGTAGGCTAAAAGCTCAACAAATTCTTCTCTATAAATTTTTAAATGACTCCGCCTACTTTCCTAACCTTAATGCACATGTCATATACTCCTCCTCCCCGCGTCGCCCTATGAACTTAATTATTGTTCAGCCCTACTCCTCTGACTATTTTTCTTCAATTGTTCCCCTGTGGAACGCCATCACTTCCCAAGTTACCCGATTTCTCCTACCTTCCGAGTTTGAATTCTTAATTTCTTCCAGTATTACCCGTTATTGATATATTTGCTCCCTATTTTTCCTTTTCTACCGGTTACATCTTTTCTGTGTCAAATATCTAAATTATCCCGTTTCCCCTCCCCTACTCAGATCGGCCTCGTGAGGGGCATTTTTTCTGAGTCTTTCATGTCCTGCCCTCTAATGTTTTATTCACCTGGTCAATAAATTAAATTAAATTAAATTAAAGTTTGAGCTTAATTATCTCAATTTCTATGCAAGATATCAAAATTTGGTCAACTAACTAAACACTTCTGATATTATGATAAACAAATCATTAGTCCACAACTTTTTGATATCTTTCGCAGGAAATTAGATAGACCAGTTCATTCCGGAGGCATTCTATTGGAGCGGTTACGGTGTTTAAGATCCAAAAAAGATTTTTGGGACACCGGAAAGTACGGTATTATCTGGAACCCAGCTCAAAGTTCGTTATTCAGGTTTGAGAAAGTTGTAATAAATTTCAATTAAGTTCAAAAATACAACGCCAGGAAAACAACATTGAACGTCTGAATCTGGAAATGGTCTGCCTCCTACACATCCTGACCTATTTCGACTTTCCCTCATTACTTTCCCCATCACACCTTGATGTATATCTCCAAGAGTGCACAATATTTGTCCCCCATTACCACCTGCCCCCTCTACAGATGACTCCTCTTCCCCCGTCTCCCACCCGTCCGTAACTGACGGTCTTCGTGTTTGCGTCCCTCCCCAACTATCTCTTCCCGCTCGTTTGAATACGAATCGTAAATAGGAGAAGACACCCCAACAAGTGTTGAAATTGTTTTTTATCCTTTTCGAAACAAACCATTCAACTATTTTTTTTTCTTCAGAATGGACAACGAAAATTCGTCCATTTTCCAACCCTACAGCCAGTATGACTGTTGGCGTGGTGAAAAGCAAATAATTCTGAAAACATCGATAGGTAATTTTTTTTTTTCAAATTTTAAAAGAGAGGTTCAGATCAATAATTCCATTTTCCAGGCTGTCAGCTTCCATATATTGTAAATTTCAAGAGAAATACAGTTCAAATTTTTAATATTGAATGGGAAAGAATCACACATTCCTATGTCTTCCCAGAAGGATGCCAACTTGTGGATGTCGATTATTTTCCAACTGAAGGTTTGCCAAAATATTAGTCTGGTCTTTCTACGAATTTTTTATTTCAGATGGAAAGCTAGGAATCCTGGTTGCAGTGGAAGATCCACGCCAATCATGGGGATCTGAAAATTTTGTGGTTGCTCTTGCAGCAAAAGAAGATCAACCGATGATGACAGTGACCCACTCGGCTGATATTCCTACAAAAATCACTGTAATCAAGACATTGTTCTCGTGTGCAGATATGTCCAGACGAGCTAACAGAGAAGTTTTGAAATTGTATCATCGATTGATGACATGGCAGCATGTGGTGGCTATTGGTACAACTTGGTTTGGCTGAATCTTTTTCATACACTCATATATTTTAGGATGTAAAGATTCGCAGTGTCATTTGGCCCGGCTAACTCCGGTTGAGGACTCTGCAAGTTTGGTGGTCCCAATTCACAATGACCGGAGAAATCTTATCAATTTGATGAGTGCATTCATCGAAGGATCGGTCCTACAGTACACTCAAAACGATGGAAGTTATCGGAACTACCCAACAGCAGCCGTTTACATTTCGGCACTTGCTCTGATGCCAAGAAGTCGTACTCTTCTTGTTGGATTATCAATGGGTGGTATTCTGGCTGCGTCTTTGAATCCATCGAATCAAATGATTTTTCTCGAATTAAGACATGAAAGACTTATTCGCAAGATTGCTCCGTTAGAACCAGAAGATGATCCAGACAAGTTTGAATATTTTATTGCGGCAGTAGAGTAAGTTTACCTTCTTCTCCTGAAAATAGTTGTAATTGTTCTTCCAGTGCTTCCCCACGTCATCCAGTCATGATTCAGCTGTGGCGTGGATCATTCAAGACTCTCGAACAAGTAGAGGAAGATTTTAAATACGATAATCCGTTCTATCTCACCTGCTTGGAACATAAAATTCCTTTTGGAGAAAAATGGATTTCTGTGAACCCGATTGTAACGGAAAGAGAGCATTGGGTTACCACAAAAAGAAGAGCAGGACATGATGAATCGGCTCTTAATGTATCACAAACGTTTGGAGCAACTTCAAATAGAAATTCAGTTTTGTTGACATACGAAAGAAAGAAAATGTTGACATCAGAAGATGATCCAAATGGATTGCCAGAGTATATTGTGGAGGGAGCCATATTTGATATTGATGCATGGTACTACAAAAGAGTTCCTGGAAAAGTATCCACGGATGGAACTGTTCTTAGACAATGTCCATTCCTATCAACAATCAAATCAAATATTCCATCCGAAGATGTGAATGACATTGGGATTCTTGCAATGAACGCCACAGATGTCTCTAGATTCTCAAGCATGATATCAGATGCGGATCAGTTGTTCTACCCATCGGCATTAACTTATGAAAGAGTTTTTGTGGCCAAAAATTCCAAGATTGAATGGATGAAAATTCAAAATATCCAGGATACGGTATTTTTTTAAACCAAAAATAGGTATAATGAATAATCGAATCTTCAGATCATCAACAAATGCTCTTCGAAACTTGCATTCTATCTCAATTCAGCAGAAGACGTTTCAGGGATTATCATTGCTGCTGGGATGGTCAGGAAAAACATTCTATCGGGATCTCCCAACTCGGTTTGTTTCTTCTTATTCGTTTTTATTCGTTTATTTTATTAATTCTAGAGCGCAGCTGATATCAACTACTCTCAACTGTCATCTGACCAGAAAGTCCTTCTGAATCTGATAGTTTACTACGGAAAAGTTGAAGCATTATGTGGAATAGTGAGCAATTCAGATGTTAGTGAGACACTGAAAACCGAGATTGCTGATTGGGCACTCCACGAAGCAGTTGATTTCAAAAGAACAATTTCTGATAAGATGGTTGCGATTTTCCAAGGAAGATCACATGATCTCTCTCCTCTTGCTCAAGATGCAATAACTCAAGGAATCAAACTGTTCCGAGTGGTTTACGAATATCTTAAAACTTGCTCCAAATTCCTGAAAAGCTCCCGTCTTCACAACATGGCTCATTCGATGAAATGCATGAGGAATCATACAAAACTCATTTATCAGTTCTTTGTTTTTGATATTATTCCTGTGAATCAAGAACGACAAAAAACGATGAGAGATATGCACTCAAAGAGGAAAATTGCTGCTATCAGAAACTCGTAAATGATTGTGATTTCTATTGAAATGAATTGAATGTTCGGCATTTCAGGTCGTCGCTTCCCATCCAAGCATTGATAAGAAACATGGATCGTCTCGCTCCAAACGCTCAATTCTGGGACGGAATCACTCACTCCGAATGGTATCCACCAACACCTGTAGATCTTTTGGAATCTCTTCTCTGTGTGAACCTTCCAGAAAGAATGAAAAGAGAACTTGTAGTTCAATATGTGGTAGACTGGGTTCGTGCTTCTGGAAACGAGTTGAATGACAAGCAAATTGCAATGGAGGTGATCAAAATCATGACAAATCAAATGTTGGAAGTGGATTTGGAGAAGATTTACTATGTTTTGGACCAAGAAAAGAATGCATTGACAGATAACAAGGCTGCAGAAGAAGTTCGAGCACTAGGAGAGAAGGTGTTTTCAATGCAAAGAGAAGAAGTGAGCTACGAGAAGTTATGGGGAGGAGGTGTTCCTATTACTGTGACAATCAACAAACAAGATCTGAAGAAGTTCGAGCAAAGAATGAAACTCCAAATGGAGAAGGCAAGATGTAAGTGTAAAAAATCCAAGTGGTATTTTCTAATGATTGCCTTTTCCAGTACCAGTTCTCGATCCAGAATCTGAAATGCTTTACCAAGTTTACCTGTTTGAAAACGAGAAATTCAACGCGATGTCTTCCGAAGCCATCCGATCCAACAAACTTCTCTCCATGTTTATGCCAGGAATGTACAAGAAACACTTCAGAAGTCTACAAAAGAGCTCAAAGGAAAAAGAGATTGAACAGACTGTAAAAACAATGTTTGAAAGACAAAAAATGCTGGATGAAGTAGTTGAAGACGAGGATGATATGGTTGCAGTTGTTCGTGATCAACAGAAAAGAAAAAGGAAATCTGGAACATTCGGAGGAGATGACGATGATTGCTCAAGTGTATCTTCCGCTTCTTTTGTTCCACCGGTTTGTTGTCTGCTTCTATGAATTCAGATAATATTTGATAATTTCAGACAGCCAAGAAAATTCAACTATGGAAAAAAGCTAGTGAACCAGCAGTAGCTTCGATTCCAGAATCTCCAGATAATAAGAATTCCAGCATTACGAGTCTCGTTCATTCAGGTGATCCACATGAAAACAATGAGATTAACATGTTGATTGCGACACCAGCTCGTTATTACAAACGACCTGCCTTCGAAGACGACGATGTTAATGAGTTTTTGTCTCCGACACGCGGAAAAGAACCTCCTTTACCAGCCCAGAATAGTATTCTGAAGACCGCAAAAGCTGTACAAACTGGAAATCGAGGACGGATTCGATTCCACGAAAGTGTCCGGAAACCTGCAGAAGAGAGGATTGAAAAGAACGAAGATAGCGCCCCTTCAAAAGGATTAACATTGAATTTTGCAATTCTGGAGGATGAGGAAGAAGAAGAAACAATGACTACAAGAAGATCGAGAACTATGGAAACTGAAAAAGAGGTGGAAAGAGAAGAAGAGGTAATGGAAGAGGAAGAAGAAGAAAGTCATGAAGAAGACGTTGAACAAGAAAAAGAAGAGGATGAGTGTGTTGAAAGCGAGAAAACGTTTGAAGAACAAGAAGATTTCGAAGTTCTCGAAGATACATCGGCTCCTGAAAAAATGAATTCACTAGAAGACACATTCGAGCCAAGAGAAGATGATGTTATGCCACCAGTTGATGAAACTTATAAAGAAGAAGAAGAAAAGGAAGAAGAAGAGGAGAAAGACAAAGAAGAGAAACAAGAAGAATCAAATGGTGAAGAAGTGTCTGATGGTATTCTGAGAAGCATGGAAGTTCAGTCAGATGATGATGTAGACCCAATCCAACCAGAAATTGTAGAAGAGGAAGTAGGAGAAGATGTAGAAAAGGTGCAAGAACATCAAGAAGAAGTTGGAAAGGAAGAAGAAGAGCAAAAAACAGAAGAAGTACAAGAAAACAATGATGTTGTGGAAGAAGAAAAACAAGAAGAGCTTCATGAGAATCCCGTATCTGTTAAACCGAAAACTAGTGATGCTCCAGTAGAAGCTTCCTCCGAAGTACAAGAACCTGAGGATGATAGACCGCCTTCTGTAAGTCTTTAAATTTCAAATTTATTTATCCAAAAGTTTTTCCAGAGAACGACCCGGACAAAAACTGTTCAGAAGACACCGTCTGTGAAGACCAACGTCGACACAGAAGATGGACCGCCATCCACGAGACTAAGAACTCGATCTTGCTCGATCAAACGGGATGATGTGGCATCTGAAACTCCAAGATCTCGAAGAACTTCGGTTCGCCGATCTGCTTCTAGAACTTCTTCTGTTTCAGAACAACTTGAAACTGTGGTCCCATCAGGGAAAACTCGTAAATCTGTAAGTCCTTGTTTTCTTTTTTTATTATGAGTATTTATATCTAAGTTTCAGACGGGTCGTGCCGCATCAGTGGAACATCCTACTGGGTCCGATGTTTCGGGAACTCCAAGAAGGCGTGGAAGACCAAGACTGAGTAGTTTGACAACCACACCAAAGGAAACACGTAAAAGGGAGAATTCAACTGAACAAGATGATACCGAAACACCAAACAAAAGGCGTCGTGGTACTTCGCGAGCTACTCCGATGAAAGTGATTCCTGAAGATGAACCATCCATATCAACGGCTAATCAACAGGAAGCTACTGAATCATCTGTGGTAACACCTAAGAAAGGAAGAGGAAGACCAAGAAAGGAGCTAGCAAACGTAGAGGAGGAGCTAGAAGAACCCGAAGAACCAGCAGTAAATGTAATTATATTGAATTTTTCAAAACTCAGAAAATCAGAGAAGTATCAACTATATTTTCCAGACTTCCCTTCGTCGATCCACCCGTCGTTCTCAACAACAGTGACTTTGCTCATTCTTCACCAAAAACATGTAAACTTAACTATCTGGGTTTCTTTTTGACTATTTTTTCTGCTTGAAATATTAAAAAAATTTATGAACCATTTTTCTGTGTCTTGAACTTTATGAATAATTTTTTTTGAAAAATAAATTTCTTCCTTATATATAAAACCCTAGAGGCGTCTGTCTGTCCCGGTGTTACTCTGTCGAATTTTGAAAAACTTGAAAAAGAAATATAGATTTACATGACCCTTTAGGAATAATTGAGGAGCGGAGCCACGACCATTAAAAACTAGATTGAATCACGCCGTAGGAGCACCAGCTTGCTGATGTTTCTAGTTTGAACAAGGCAATGAGAGACAAATAACAATATTAACAAGTCAATACTAAAATGACCCAGAAACATGACTTTGGAGGAAAATTTCATGATTTTTTTATCTGATTATGTGGAAAATCAAGATGATTCAAATGATTTTTGAAAAATTAATTAGTGGTCATAGAATCATATATGGTACTTTTCCGGAAGAAAATATTCCAATTAAGACCACTTTTCAAGATTTTTACAGAAAAAATGGAACTCCTCTCTCAGTTTTCGACTTCACTAGGAGTTCTATAGCTCAAAAGAAGCGCAACATTTTGTTATTCAATTCGTATAGAAAACATTCTTGGTTTTCCTGGTTAAACTTTTTTAGA